AGTACATTACAAGAGATGACCTATAAAATGCATTTTAGTGCTAGTATGGCTAGTAGAATCCTAGTGGCTGCGCTTAGTACGGCGAACTACTTGGTAAATAAATCTCCATCGATTGCAATTAGATGTTGGACTTCCGAAGAAATGTGGTCAAGTAAGGTTGGTGATTAATTTAGTTATTAGAATATTTGGTTATCCGTGTTATGTTCGAATGAGTGATGGTAAGTTAAATGAAAGGGCAAGAAAGTGTTTATTTTTGTACTATGCACAAGGTGAGTGGGGCTATCTATTATGATGCCCGGAATTAAATTCACATATTGTCAGTAGATAAGTTATATTTGACGAGTTTTTATTACTTGTAGATACGAGAGTTTAGGGTAATGTTTATATTGATCTAGATAGTGTTTGGCTCAAGATGGAGTTGTAACTAGAAACTCAAGGTAGCGGATGCTAGCATGGTAACCGAAAGGTGGATCATGTAGAGTCAACAATTGCTATAGCTAATGAATTTTTTCATCTCACACAGATATGGATGTAATGATAGTTTTAGTTTATCTATGGTTGAGGGGATTGTGTCGAGAATCATTGTGGCACAGCTAAAGATATAAGTTGAGTTGGTGTTCTAATGATGTCCACAACTATGACGAAGTTCAAGTGAGGCGGGGGTTGTAATGAAGTTCAAATTTTAGTGAAGCAATTGTGAATTAGCTCAAACATCGAATCTAGGTAGAGATAGTTGAAATTATGTTTCGAGTTTGAACTCCTATAAAAAACTTTCCTCATTCAAGTAGATTTCTATTTGAATGATTTCCTAGTTGGAGTAGGATTCTTAAAAGAGATTTTCTATTTTGGATCCATTCTCATCTTTATATAAAAAGTGTCTCTATTATGAAAAATATCATAGAGGCGACTTCTTCATCAATCACACCCAGAAGAATGTGTGTATTTCTTCGATTTTTAGAACCTCTCAAAAGCGTCATTTCTAACTTTAGTTCACTTTTCGAACAAAAAAAAAAGACTTTAGTTAACTTAATCAAAACACAAGACCCAAATGCGAAAGAGGTTTCCAAATTCTCTCGAGAGAACAATCCTTTTCCATAATTGCTATTTCTAATTTTATTTAACCTAAAGTAATAAAATACGATTCGAACGCGAGACGGGTGGTTGTAGTCTCTCGATAACGCGATCCGCCGTCCTTAAAACACTGTACTTATACTAAATGGTTTAGGACACGAGCCTGGAAACCTGACTATCTAGAGTTCCATGTAAGCATCCTGCAAGCTTTGTGAATTAACTAAGTCCAAGTTTTTGACTCATACCAGCGTCATGGATCGATTAAGTTTGCAAACAAACCCGACTCGTAATAGTTTTGCCTTCGTATCCCAAATTCGAAAATCTTCCAACATCCAACTGAGTGCGCTTCTGATAATGTCATTTTCTGTGACTCGACCATCACCAATGGGGAAACTAGTTGAAATGATGCCTTAAAAGTGAAACTCACATCATTGTTAAGTGAGAAAAAGTCGACGGGGCTTCGCATCATTTTCCAAATTTTGACAAAGAAGACAAGTAAAAAAGGACCCAAAAAACAAAAAACAAAAAACAAACCGTGATTAGATCTGCCGTAAAGAGTCAAATCCTCGTTCGAGACAAGACAATATCCCTGCAAAAAACAGAAAAAATAATTTAAGAAAGAAATCACAAAATATTTGGGCCCTCCCGAGGGGTGAGGCAATGCGATCGTCACGATGACGTCAGGAGGGCCACATTCAATTCCGCACCTTTCATATGTTACTTACTGTTAAGTGTTAATGTCGGGATCCCCTGGGAGGGGACCCACCGGAGGAGATATTTATTGTTTTTGATATATCTTCAATTATTCCTTTATTTATTAGTGGCATAAAGACCCTCGAGTAGTCACGTAGGTACTTAAGTTCTTTTCTTTAATCTACTAAAATATTATTTTTCTCACAACTATCTAAACCTAATATCTGCTTTTCTCGTTTGAGAAAAATCGGTAGCTTCGATTGAAATGGAAACGAGAATCGACGGAAACATGCGAGCTCGGAGGAACCCCATCATTCATCTGTTCGGCCGATCGATCACGCTAGTCAAATTTTTGTCGAGATACTTTCATTTCTTTTGAAAAAAAAATCGAGAGCCTAGCACTTGACCGTTGATGATTAAGTAGATAAGTGACTTAGGCTCCGTTCGTTTGGCGGAAAATATTGTAAATATTTTTCGGAAAAATATTTTTCCGGAAACGAACACAGCCTTAGATAAAAAAAAAAAATGAGGCTTCATTGCTCAACCGTGATTATTTCATGGATATAGCGTCTATTTTAAACTGCATCTTGACCGTTCAAATTGGCGGGCCTCATCACGTACGATGATTCATGTCCATTTTATTACCTTATGTATTCGGTTCATCGGATGGTTTCTCGTTTCGCCACGTTTCAGTGATGGAGTTTTTACCTCCCTCGGCCGGGATTGCATGGACACAAAGTGCATGCACCGGCCATTAGGGTTAAACCGAAAGGTCGATCGTTAACACGAGTGTTCACTCAACTTTAAGACTTTTGACTCAACTTTAAGACTCGTGAAGAAATATGTGCGTAACGAAAGTAATGTCGCTCCACAAATGGTGCCAAAAAGATGACACAGTTAGATTCCCTTTTGTTCTTCACACCCAACATCCCCCGTCCCCCTCACGATGAGAGAAAGATCGGTTCAAAAGGTCGACCAAGACCCTCCCTCTTGATGAAAGAGTCTTATGATTGAAGGCAAATCCAATCTGAAACGTCGACCTCGTAAAGAGACGTCAACCCTGACCGGGCAATCCATCACGGCAACCACCGGCTTTTGCACTTCGGCCATCTCGTGTTCTCGTCATCCAGTCAATTTGTCAGGTAATGGTGGAAAGTTATCGGAACGTAGTCCATGGGGAGAGTGGCGGTGACAGTTCGGTCATGATCAATGGAAATTACAAGCTTAGACTAAAAGCTCTCTCGGACCCAAGCCTGGCATTATATGCCACCAGTTCTCACCGAGTACGTCAATCAAAATCTCGAGTGTCTTATTGGCATAGCTCCCAAATGCAAACCCCAGTTAACGCTAAAGACGCCTTGTAGAAGCGGCATGGTTTGGTAGGCCGAGAGGGGATTTTTGGCTCACGAATTACGTGTCACTTGTTCAAATCCCATCAATTGCATGCAAACTGCTACGAGCCGGGATCACCTATGAAGACCAAAGTCCTATTGCGGAGTATTCAATAAATCTTGAGATAGTCGGATCTCTGTAAATATATGTTCCTTGATTAATGGAAAAAGAGCATGAATCTTGTTCAGTTCCTTATTCGACGGAAAGACATTAAAAGCCACTATATACTCCTACATAAGTAGGCAGGAATGGACGGTTGGCAAAATGCCACCAGACAACCGTTCGATGTTTCTAGTTGTTCTGCCAACTTCCCACCTCGGTGGACGAATAATTTGCGGAACCACCCCCCATAAATTTCTTCGGAGCCGAAGAACGAACGAGTCTTGTCTATTGAAATGAACTCGGGCTTGATGCAGAAAACTGTGGTGCGTCACGTCCTCTGTAAGCGAACGCTGTATGTCTAGAACAATGGACTAACTTTGTATCTACAGAAGAAGTGATCTGTCATTCTTAGTTTGAACAGGCTCGTGTCTGTGTCAAAGTCTATTGAGGAATTGATTAGTTTTAGAAGACATGGCCGGTTCATCTTGACAACGTTGGTCAGCCCAACTTGCACTCTCAGCGGAGTGAAAGGAATGTGAAGGCACAGATTAACCTCACAAGTCACAGGTCCTGACCCATGATACTTCCTTTTTTTAAATAAAGAAGGGAAAATTTCAATTAAGGACCCCAAGTGGGGTCAAATTCTCAAAAGAGGGGCCAAAGTGAACATAGTGTCAAATAAGGGCTTGAAGTGCCCAATCAGTCTCAAATAAGGACCCGAAGTGCTCAAAAAGTCTCAAATAAGGGCCTGGGTCGCCGGCCGGCCAAAATACCCGCCGGCCGGCGAGAATGTTACTATTCCGGCACCGGAACAGTAAAATTTTTATTTTTTTATTATTTTTTCCTTTTCTGTTTTTTTTCTTTTCCTTTTCTTTTTTTTTTTCTTCTCTTCCTCCGCCGGCCATAGCCGGGGCCGGCGGAGGTCGCCGGCCTCAGGCGAGGGCCGCCCTCGCCTGGGCTGGGCGAGGTCGGCCTCGCCAGTTGCCGGCGAGGTCGAGCCTCGCCTGATCTGGCGAGGGCTTGGCCCCGTCGGCCGCTAGTGAGGCCGACCTCGCCCAGCCCAGGCGAGGGCGGCCCTCGCCCAACGCCGGCGAGGGTTCGGCCCCGTCAGATCTGGCGAGGCTCAACCTCGCCGGCGTCGGGAATAGTAACATTCTCGCCGGCCGGCGGGTATTTTGGCCGGCCGGCGACCCAGGCCCTTATTTGAGACTTTTTGAGCACTTCGGGTCCTTATTTGAGACTGATTGGGCACTTCAGGCCCTTATTTGATACTATGTTCACTTTGGGCCCTCTTTTGAGAATTTGACCCCACTTGGGGTCCTTAATTGAAATTTTCCCAATAAAGAATAATTGTCCTGTTCGAGTGAGCAGCATAAAAATAATAGTCAATGAGTCAAAAGATAAGTTTTTTTTAGGATAATGCGTGTGGGGTACGAATGCAAAGAATTATCTCTCGACAAATTAGCATGGTTGAAAAGCAATGAATAATATATCATATTACTCATAATTCATTACGTGAGTTTTAAAGCGAAGTTGCGTCTATGCTAAAGTATCTCAGTAGTCATATGCATTATCATGTGGGTGCGTAAGACTATATGGCCATTGTATAGAGTTATCGAGTCGAGTATCATATGTCGTGTCAATGCAATACTTGTGTTTTTCTTTTAATGACATGGTAACAGTCTGATTAATACCCCAATGTTCAAAAACCGCACATTGAACTTGCACTTTAGATTCCGACCAAAAAAACACTTGTATCTTAGATTAGGTGAATTATATAATGCCGATTTCTCGATCAATAACACATACATACATGTCCAGGAGTATTTTTTACCTTGAGCGAAGATATTTGGCAAAATAAAAGAAAAGGAGTATATCCTAACTCGTATTGAAGAGTGCATTCGTTTAGTTAGCTACTACTTCTCTATACTTCTTGAATAAAACTTGCGCGTACGTGCGTACAAGACTAAAGCTAGGACAGTCCCGAGTAAGCACAGACATCCCCAGATGACAAACGTCGTGCTATAACACTCCATCCCCATGCACTTCCCGTCGCCGCCTCGCCGGCTGCGGTAGAGCAGCGCCGCGGCGTATCCGAAGACGAAGGACCCAATAGGGATGTTGGTGACAAGGATGTTGTGGTTCACGCCGAAGTTCTTGGTCCCGAAGAGCTCGGTGGTGGTCGCCACGGAGATGGACGTGATGGCCCCAGTGCAGACGCCGATGATGGCGGTGCTCACGTAGAGCGCCGCCGTGGCAGGGCTGAGGAGCAGGAAGTAGGCACCGACCATCGGTGCCATCAGTACCGCCATTGTTGCCGGTCTCGACACCACGTACTTTCTGCTGAAACAGGAAGAAAAAGAAAAATGTTCACTTTATGACTTAGCTTTTGGACCATGACTTAAAGTCTTAGGACGTTAAAGAACGTTGTCCCAAAAGCTTTTGTGTCCGTTCAAATGTAATAGACATCGATCCTCGCTCCAACATTGGAACAAAAGAGCCAACTTTTCACCTAAAAGTGGACGGACAAAAATGCAAGAAAGCGATAATTCATAGGGCGAATTTCTTCGAGTAATGTAATATTATGTCATCCGATGCAAGCACATACGTGAAAACAGCTTCTTATAATCAACATGCACTGAACAATATCTTATCTTCGTATGCATAGAAATCTCTTATGGAGAACGTGCCTAACATCTCTTGTAGAAATCTCCTCTTATCAGGCTTCAGTCCCTCCTGCCTTCAGAGCGGCCTGGCTTGCATGTGTTTTCACTAGCTAGGAAATAAGGACAATTAATGCTGAATGCCATGAAGTCTAGACTTAAAGTCCACACCCGATCAAGCAAGACATTTACGTGCAAATGCCGTGGTTGTCCGTCCACTTCAAACTCTGAACTAGTTGATGAACTCCACCCACGCTCAGTTGACAATCTAACAACGCTAATTGAAACACTAATAAAGGGGAGATGGCTGTCCTAATTACCTTTTGAAGAGGTAGTCGAAGAGAGACGGGATCAGCCGCCCGAAGAACCCGAACGATGACGAGAGAGAGACCAGCGACGACGTCTTTGAGCTGCCCCGGGACTCGGCAATCTGCCCCAGGTTGTTGAGGAACACGAGCCCGAGCGTCGCCCCGAACAGGTACACGAAAAAGTAGAGCCAGAACTCGACTCGCTTCACCATCACTCTGGCTCCAACCTCCTCTCTGACACCATTAATTGCCACTTCTTCACTAGGGGGAACCACAACAACCGCCTCTTCTTGGTCGCCAACCTGGGGATGGGCCTCTGACTTGAGGCCACTCTCGTCTCCGCCGTGGTCGCTGTTCTCTTGCTCGGTCACCACGTCGTGTACCCTCTTCTCGGTGCGGGCTAGGACGTGCTTGACGCATTCCGCGAGCGGTATAATGATGGGGATCAGGAGGAAGATGCCCATCCCCATCGCATTGTACACCGCCGATAACGCTCCCGACACTGACCCCATACTGCTCACCACCGCGTAAATTCCGGTCGCGATCGTTATGATGAATAGGATTATGAACCTGCTGTGCGCATTTTTGCCCGCCCCTGGACCGTCTGCATTGACAACTCGAACAAAAGCCGCCGTGGCTAGCGACACGGCCATTGGCAGGACTGAATTGAGAAGCAGATATGCTTTAGCTCTAGCCCCAGTCCCGCCGCGCTTGTTGAGTGCGGCGTCAACTATATCCGTGTAGACACTGGCGCTCAGCCCTTGGTAGCTGGTGGTGAGCCCGACGGCGAGCTGGCGGTGGAGCGGGAAGTTGTGGATCGCGACCACGTAGCACACCGTGTTGATCCAGCAGATGCTGTTCCCGGCGAGGACGGCGAGGAGAAACATCCCGGGGTACGAGACCGAGGTGACCTTGCCAGCCACGAAGAGGTACTGGATGCCGTTCCCGACAAGCCCAAGCAACGCGCCCACCAGGAGGACGAGCCAGAGCGGGAGGTACACCGCAGCGATCCCCGAGAACCACCCCAAGAGCTTGCCCGCGTCGGAGGCAAAGGCGAGGTTGTTGAGCTGGACCTGGGAGATGTGGAGGACTTGCTTGAGCTGCGAGGAGTATGCCGGGAAGTTGGTGTTCGTCCCAGCGATGGTCTGGAGCCAGATCACGGCCACGAGGCAGAGCCACTGGGCCAGTGATGGAGGCATCGTTCTTGGTTAATATTTGCTCCAAGTGTTGCGCGCAGGTCCTCCTTTTATAGCATCAGGCAGCGACGAGAACAGAAACAGACTGAAAAAACAAAAGGACAGAGGAAAGATCGACGACGGTGAGGATCACGTACAAGGTTTCTAAGGTGGGAGATGGAGGTTGGGGAGGGACAAGCAGAGAGGGAAGCAGTGAGACCGACGATGCTGTCTTTTCAATGGACATGTGGCTCTGCCGAAGACAATGTGGTTACGCGAAGGCCGTCACCTTCGAGGCCACATTAATGGTTCCCCGAGGTGGGTGTGTACCAAGTCCAACAAGGGCTTATATAGTGATCTCTCCTCGGGGCCTGTGGGGTTGGGGTCCATCGAAGCGTGGAGTTGGGTTCGTGTGTGAACGGAGGAAGCAGGGTTGGCGTGCGTCCTGTGCGGGCGGGGGGCTCGGGTTCCTGCAAGGAAGCAAACTCGTCCTGACGAGAGAGTTTGCGCAAATCTCTATTGAGGAAATGAAATCTCGACGCGATAGCTTGTGCTTGTCAAAGTATTCGTGTAATTATATTGCCTGTTCGGAGCGAAATCAGCATGTTATCCCAAGCTGTTCCAGCGAAAACAATAATCTTGGCAGCACACAAGACTAAAAACGATCTAGGTTTCCTCAAACATAAATCTTTGTTCCCCTAATGTCTTTTTCTTTTTCCCCTAAAGTCTTTTCATTAGTCGTGCGAACCTAAGCACGTCCTTAAAATGCTCTATCTCGGTCCTTGTCCAAATCTCAGGATCATTGGGATAAAAAATTTACGGAGGGTATTCCCTCTCGATGAGAAAGAAAAAGATACCTGGAGAATTGAAGGTGGGAGGCCAATTTTTGTTCCCACCAAATCCTTTTCTTTTACCTAAATTCTCTTTATTAGCCATGAAGATCTAAGCATGTCCGTAAAAAAATTCATTTCGGTTATTGTCCGGATCTCAGGATCACTAAAATGAAAAACTTTTGAAGGGTATTTCCTTTCCACGAGAAATAAAAATATACATTGACAATTAGGAATGGGAGGCCAATTTTTGTTCCACTAAACCCTTTTCTTTTTCCCTAAAGTCTCTTTATTAGTCGTGCACTCACATACAAAAGCTTTTGTGAAACACGCAAAAAGGGGGAAAAGGAGAAGTTTCGCAGGATTCCGCGCGACGTGCTTTTTCATCCTTCGGAGAAACGAGTCGTCACTGCGTCATCGTGAAATTTCGTTCTAGCCGGGGCGGTCGTGAAGCGGAAACTCTCGTCCATCGGCGTAACGAAACGACCTCGCTTGCCGAAATCAAGAACTGTGTACACTTTAAAAGCAGAATCCTTTAACATTTTACGAGTGAAAGTGTGCTCGATGAGAGGACAGTTTCCACTTTAAAAGCAAGTAATTACACGCCTTACAAAGATAAAAGTGAATGATAAAGTGTGCCCCGGTTTTCGATGGTCATCGAGACACTTCTGCGTCGCAATCACATACATTAGGTACACTTTTATTTTCAAGATATTCACTCTTGCCAACTGCCCACCTGAATTTAGGTGGCGCGGCAATAGAATGATGGGCTTATGATTACTAAGTTTTCCCGAATTTTAGTGTGTGAAATTATAACTTACAGATGCGTTTGTTTTCGCGAAAAATAAATGATTTGTAAAAATATTTTTCTAAAAATAATCGTTCATAACCCCCGAAATACTTAGTCAATGGAAAATATTTAATAGTCGACAACGATTTATGTCTGAATATTTTCGTAGATTATATAAATAAAACATCTGCTCATCCCGTCCCTTTCGCTACGCATTATATAATACGGTCCGCCGGGTGAACAAAATGTTGCTATAGCACGACATGCAACTACATAAAGCCTCAGAACAACGTAGCTTAATTAAATCCTAGTGAAATATCAATTTGTGTTCCGGCCTGTACAAACGCACTCCCAAAAGCAACAATAAATAGATTGATTAAATTTAAAAAAAAAAAAGAGGATGGGACAAGGAGGAGATCACATCAATTATGACGTCAGGAGTGAGATGTGACGGATGAGATGCTTTGGACGAGAGGGGGACTGCTTTGCGGTCCCGTGAGCTGAGGTCTGCCTCACGGGGTGATGGCGTGGCGGTGCACGGGGTCGGAGATATCCGACCGGTCCACGGTTCAATCTCAGCCTCATGCACATAAGTCAGAGTCCAAAAATTCTAACTCTCTCTCTCTCTCTCGAGATCGCGATCAAATGATAACCGAGCTTTTCGTCTCGATTGATCTCGTGGATACACGTGCACGTTTAAGGAACGTGATCCTTGACTCGATTATAACCGAAGGATATCTCGTGATTTGAATCTCAAAACCTAGTACCATCCAAATCGAGCGCGTGTAATGCCTCGTAAGATTAGATGAGTTTTGCTATCATTATTACTTTCTTATGAATCATTTCAAGATTACTAGGGAGAAATAAAATTATGGCGACTGCATCTCATCGAGACTTATAGATGGTATTTGTCAGTGCAAATTCGATTTTCTAGTTGGGATTGTATGTTGCGGTTGGAATCGTGGTACGTTTTATTGTAAGAATGTCATTTTCTTTTCGTCCAAATAATTTGGATTGAATGCGCTAAACACAACCTCAGCTTAAAGGAAAAAAACAGAACTCGTTTGAAATGTGTGGTTGCGTGACGTGGATTGGTTGATTTTTGAGTAATTAATGTCAATTTTGTCCTATACCATTTCTCCTTTGCAATCTTTATCAAACGTTAGGTATATGAAGATGGCAAATAATAATGACCAATTTCCATATTTTGCACACAATCAAGACCAGAAAAAAAAATCGAACGGCTTTACGTGATAGATATATCTTGGGGTTAATATTGCAAAAAATTCTAAATTATATACCTGTGATAAATTTACTCCAAATTAATTTTTTAACTACCAAAAACCCCAAACTGGTATACCTGTAACAATTTTATCCTGTGTTAATTTCCGTTGAATTTTATAGTCAAATTCTGAGTTGGATGACATGTGGCAGTTGACGGGTGTACCGATTTGTGGTTTTACCCTCTGTTTATCACGGGTGTACTAGTTTGTGATTTTTCATGGTATTAATCCAATTTAATAATAGGTAAATTTGTCACAATTGTACCAGTTTTGGGTTTTTGATGGTTAAAAAAATTAGTTTAGAGTAAATTTGTCACAAATTTACCAGTTTGAGGTTTTTCATGATATTAACCCTATATTCTAAGCCTCGTACACAAGCTAGGCACGGGCACGATTGCTTTTGTATCATCCGATTAATTAATACGAGGACAATAAATCCAGAAATTTTCAATTTTTGCTTGCTTGGATTCATCTTGATTTTTCCAATAAATACATTGCTTTTCGTCACCCATCTTTATGTGCAAAATAGAAAATACAAAAATGAGATGAAGATGTATTTTATCTTAATAATATACAGATAGAATATGATGATCTCATCCCCAAGATAAGACTACTCTCTAAAAGCTAACATGAGGTAGATGAAAGCGTTTCTTCTCTCTAGCTTGACTACGATATGCATACAACCCCCCCAATATAAAATTTACTTTACCTTAGTAGTTATGTGAATTTGCGATGACCCAGCTCGATCCACTTGAGCCAAATCTCGAAAATCAAACGAACTACTCATGTGGTGACTACTAAGAAGACTGGATCGCACTTATGAGTCAAGCCATGAGTCCTCTCCCATCTCATACGGGATTTTAAATGCCATCATTTATAGCACCAACGTCCTGTTAGTGTTGGCTTCTTAGTCCACGATTGCACTAGGAAGGGAGGAATTAATTCTAGAGGTAGGCCTTCAAAGATTCAAGGAGAAAATTATCCAAAAAGTCCTAAATCTATTACACTTTTGTCGATTCAATCCTAATCTTTCAATGTTACTAATTGAGTCCTAAACCTTTTCACTTTTTATCAATTGAGTTCACCCATGCCACTTGAAGTGATAACTGTTTAAGGACGAGTCGCACTTATAAATCAGGTCACAAGCCATCTCCCATTAGATGTAAGATTTCGGGCATCGCAGAATCACCTAGTTCAATCCTCACATGGTTAAGTATAAGCAATTAGTCCTGCACTTTTGGTCCATCCCTCGAGTTTCGACTCGTGTTTACCCTGTCCATAAGAAAGTACATGACTGTTTTACGCTGGCGCACGAAAGGAAACGAACATACGATCATCAAAGACTCCACTAGCTGCGAGCTAATGCAACTTGCATTCACCGCATCAAAGCCTCCCAACGATACCAATGTCAAGATTGCATGGATACCCATTTCGATTGGCTGTACGTACCCTGTCATCATTCGTATCATAGAAAATTGTAAAGCGGAAGGAACAGGAGAGAGTTATCCAAAAGGGATTCAATTTTCATCTTGATTTAGATAGTGACGTGTGGAAATTCACATCCTGGAAAACCCACTTACCGTCCATACGCCATCTATAAGTGGCATGACTTTTTGGCACTTGTTCATCACACTTGCCTTCTATTTCCTCGGATGACAGCCGTCGTCCGAGTTTCGACGTCAACGTGCCGGAAGCTCGACCCAACGTGGGAAAAAAAAGAACTCATGTAAGACTCTTTCCTTAAACGTGTCGGAAGCTAAACGGTACAGCTCGCTCCGACCGCATACAATGTCGTGATGATATGACGCGAAGAAAACGGAGTTGAAAATGTACAAGTTGTCTGCTCTGCAGATGAGCAGTGGCGTGATGAGAAGGTCTGAACTTGAATTGCTGCAATGCGTGCTAATTCATGCCGTCTTTAAATTTCTAGAACGCACTGAACCTCGTGGACCACGCATTACTCCGACATGCTGAAGCTAAGGTATAATTTGATTATTGCTATCCTGGCTGTTTTTCTATGTTTTCGTTGAATGGTGTTTTGTCAAGTTCCTGCAAAGGCTTAACTCGTAGAGGGTTCCCGTCTTATTTTCAAGAGGGTGTTTGTTACTAGCTAGGATGCATCAAGAGAACTTTAATGTGCGTATGTATATGACTTATTTGTATGAGATAAACGGAATACATAAATATGAAGCCAAATAAAGTTGTTTAGCTTAAAGTATACACTAGCGTAAACCCATCATGCTTGGGATTGAGACGAGAGGGACATGCCAGGAGTCGGGGCGTGATGGGGCGGAGGCAGGGGACGCAATGAGGACCGGCGATGGCACAGGGGAGGGGAGCGACATCAACAGCGGAGCAGGGCAGAGGCCGACGGTGAGTGAATGTGGAGGAGGAAGAGAGAATGGGGAAGAGATTAGGTTTTTTGGGAACTGCATCTTGTTGTGTGTATTTTTCCAACAAGTGAGGGCGTTCGAGTCATTAAGGAGTAACTTTACATGGCAAAGTTATCTCCCAAATTTAAAAGATCCCAATCCTTAAACGAGCACGTGATGACTAGATTTAGTAGCGACCTGTTGGTACATGTTGATATTCCCGAACGCGATTTTGCGAGTTTGACCTCAAAAGAGGCGGTAGTGCGCGGGTTTGGGACCTTTGGCAGCTCCATGTGAATATCGCAACGGGGCTTGGTTATCTGAAATCAAAAGGTCATGAATGGTGCTAACCGACGACCTATTCGGTGTCATAAAGTCGAACATTTTATAGCCCATACGAGACTTATCGGTGTAGGTGGCGATGCTAATATTTTTGGAAACAAGACCCACAATGGAAAAATTGAATGAAGTAAGAGCTTTGGCGGATGGGTTTGGGACCTTTGGCAGTTCGATGTGATTATCGCGACGAAGCTTCGTTATCTCAAATCAAAAGGTCATGAATGGTACTAACCGACGACCCATTCAGTGTATTAAAGTCGAACATTTTGTAGCCCGTACGAGACTAATTGGTGGAGGGAGCGATGCTAATATTTTTGGAAACAAGACCCACAATGGAAAAATTGAATGAAAAAAGAGCTTGTATGCATGCGCACCACTAAGTTTTACATTTCAATAATTTGTCTCAGCATTAAATGAGATTGAACTTCTCAATAACTATAGCTATCTCTTCTTTCTTTCTTGCTTTCATCTTTATTTTTTCAACTGAGATAGTTTGAGAGGTTTTAACAATCATACTAAGGAAAGCGATTGAAACATCATTTCCTTCACGTTGATTTTCATGCCGGTCGCCCCCTCCCATCCTTTTGCTTTAGCAAGACAAGTCTAGATACATCGGTTGATGGTTCTTCGTCGGACTGTAATTGATCCATAAATAGGTAGGACATTAGTGCGACCGGCAACTCATGAAGGACAAGAATCGACTTAAGTTTCTCAAAATCCATCTAATCAAACGTCGCACGTCTAAGTTTAGGGCCTTCTTTTCCAAGGTTGAATATTGCGTATTCAAACTAAACTATTGGGGAAGAAGACTTAGAGACATTTCATTCGATGATTCAAGCCAGAATTTATTTTATTTTATATAAGTCAACAATCCAAAAATGAATAAGTTGTCTAGAAGTACTATAGACTAATCTTGATGACATGTATTGACTACTTTTTTATATCTCCGTACGAGAAATACTTGGATAGTAAAACGGCGAGATCATCTATTAAACTAGCTTGTTAAGTAATGTGGCACTTCATCAGTGAATACCATATGCTAGTGTGCCTATTTACGTACTCCGAAAGGAGTAAAAAATATTTAATAGACGAGGTTTAGTATGTCTATACTTAAAAATTTTATTAGAGGAAATGCTATTTGCGAAAAACGTCTCGGTCGCTTGCAATCCATTTAGTGGCACAGGTGGTGGTGACTCGAGGGCGCAGCCAAAGTTCAAACCTAGCGAGAATTCCACGCTTATGGATGTAATTAGATTTGGATGTGGAGGATCCTGTGATTAAGGCTTGATTTGTTTATCAAAAAATGAATGATCTAAATAATATTTTCCTAAAATTAATTGTTTATATTGCTTGAAATAATTTATTAATAAAAAATTTCATTATCGACAATAATTTATGTTTATATGAATTCGTGAACGATGAAAATATTTCTCGTTTATTATTTTTTTAAGAGATACAAACGATCATTTTAGGCTTTTCAAATCATTCATTTTTCGCAAAACAAACGCATAAATAAAGCGCAATATCTCTTAGCTAGTTATATTGAAATAAAATACGACACTCGCCATTTAGTGGGCTGAATCTTAAATAATTCGTGTAGACGGTGCGATCTACATGTTTTTATGAAACTATTCAAGTCAAAAGATTCGGACACCTCATGTTATGAGAAAAGGAGAGAGACACGAATGCCCCACCGTGCCATCATTCCGTGGGGCAGACCTCATGGAGTGATGGCCCAGTGTGACGCCGCCACCAAAATTGATATCTTTACCCAGCCAGTTTAGTCAAGCCACCTTGAAAGTTTATAAATGATAACTTGATGGGGTGAGCTGATCACATAAGATATAAAAAAAAAATTAGGCCAAAACTCGAGATCTTTTAAATTACTATTTATTCGATCATATAGAACAAACTTATGCACTAACTTCGTACATAAACTTTGGGGCGATTACATGAGAAGCTGATCATTCTAATGTTATAGTAACCACATATGAGGATATTACACCTGAAGCGAATGTCAAAGGCCACGGGTACCCATTCAATGATATAAAGATATCATAGCTTTCAATGCATCAACTTTTATATAAAGCGTGTAATTCAAGTTTTGAAAAGGGAAAACTTTCTTTATCAAGTATACTTAGAGTCATACATTTTTCTTTGAGTCGCTAATGAGCAAGACTTTTTCTACTTTTTTAGTATTATAAATAGTTCAAAGGATAAATTGGATCTCTCTCTAATCCAAATTAGTCAAATTCTGCCAAATTAGACTATTACTATAAAGTATGATGATGCAAGAAGTGATTCCTCTTTATTAACTTGATACGCTAAATATAGATTTGAATAAATCGAAAAAAAAAAGTAACTTTACTAGCTTTGATAATTCTATTTTACACGTTTTTTACCCATGCATGTGACCCCAACATAAAACAGTTTTTGTATAACATAAGACAGCTTTTATACAAGTGGTGGGATTTAAGCAAGTGACCTCTAGTTTCTGAGATGGAAATCTCCCATCGTCCCAACTAACTATACCAAACCGGGTTCCATTCCAACCTAGCGCTTACTGATCCACACATTAAATCTCAGGCTAAACCAAAGCCAAATCGGGAAGATTTCGATAACAACCGCGCACGACAGATTCGATGTTGAATTGTCTTTATTTTGATTCGGTTCTGTAATAGAAGATGTTTAAGTACGCACCTCTACCGATCAAATGGTGTCAGAAGGCAAAGCGCTTGCGATTGTTCTCATCTGTCTTTTAGTGCTTTGCATAAATGACTCGTGAATGGCGTGGGCGCTCTTCGGAATGACGTTCCAACCCATGCTTGCTGCTGCAACATTACAGCAGTGGGAGATGGAAGGCCACGGACAGCCCTTTTTCTTGCCGATTTTCATCATCAGCTTGATTCACACAGCGAGACCGTTTCCTTTTTCAACACAAATGACGAGGGCTTGGAGTAGCATATGGATCCAGCGCTCACAGCATTCTGGGCAAGAGCATGCTAAGTACCAACAGCTCTTAAGTCCAACCATTAAACAAAAGAAGTAAAATGATGTGCAGTCACGATTTCTTGTCAAGTCGAGCTCATCAATTCCAGCACCATTTAAAAAACAAGAAAGAGGGAATCTTTGGAGCTAGGTAAGAGAAGCAGCATGCACCACCACGCCCTCACCCCGGGGAGCAAACCTCATGGAGTGCATATATATGGCGGAACCAGATTCATTTCGTTATACCCAGCTAATAAGTTAGCTTCTGAACACTCTTCCGAACGAATATTTAGCCGAAAACAATGCAGGAGTGGCTCAGCCTCGTCGCCATGATCTGGCTCCAATCCGTGGCTGGGACGAACACCAACTTCCCCGCCTACTCGTCCCAGCTCAAGCAGATCCTCTCCATCTCCCAAGTCCAGCTCAACAACCTCGCCTTCGCCTCCGACGCCGGCAAGCTCCTGGGGTGGTTGTCGGGCCTTGCCGCAGTGCACCTCCCACTCTGGCTCGTCCTCCTGATCGGCGCATCGCTCGGGCTGGTCGGGTATGGTGTCCAGTACCTTTTCCTGGCTGGCAAGGTCGCCTCGCTCTCGTACCCCGCCATGTTCCTCCTTACCGCCCTCGCTGGGAACAGCATATGCTGGATCAACACAGTGTGCTACGTTGTCGCTATCCGCGACTTCCCGCTCCACCACCAGGTCGTCGTTGGGCTCACCACCAGCTACCAGGGGCTGAGCACAAGCGTCTACACCGATATAGTTGACGCTGCCTTCAACCAGGGTGGTGGTGTGGCCAGGGCTCGGGCCTACCTGCTCCTCAGCTCGGTCCTGCCGATGGGCACGTCCCTGGTGACTGCGCCTTTCGTTAGGGACGTCAATGCAGGCAGTCTAGGGGCAGGCAGAAACGCACACGGCGGGTTCTTAATCCTATTCGTGATAACGATCGCAACCGGGCTCTACGCAGTGGTGAGCAGCATGGGGTCGGTATCAGGCTGGTTGCCAGCACTTAACAACGCAATGGGGATGGGCATATTCCTTGCAGTCCCCGCCGTCGTGCCGCTCGCCAAGGGCCTCAAGCACTTTGTAGCCCTTACCCAAAAGAGGGAACACGACGTGGCGAGCGTGGAAGAGAACGGCGAACACGGCCGAGACAAGAGTGGGCTCAAGCCTGAGGCCCATCGCCAGGTTGGCGACCAAGAAGAGGAGGATATTGTGATTGCTCCTTGCGAGGAAATGGCAACGGATATTGGTGCGAGAGAGGAGCTTGGGGCGAGAGACATGGTTAGGCGGGTCGAGTTCTGGCTCTACTTTTTCGTGTACCTGTTGGGGGCAACGCTCGGGCTCGTGTTCCTGAACAACCTGGGACAGATTGCAGAGTCCCGCGGGTGCTCGAAGACCTCATCGCTGGTCACACTGTCGTCGTCGTTCGGGTTCTTTGGGCGGTTGATTCCATCTCTCTTCGACTGCCTCTTAGCAAGGTATTTAAGACGCAATTTATTTTGTAGTATTGAAGTACTGTCCCCGTTACAACGAGTCATAAATACTCTTTATATTCATGTGGTTTCTTTTCACCCATTAGTTTAAGGTTTTATAACCGTTTCTATTGATCCAACATCTTACTTGATATCAGAACAAGAGATTTTGAGTTCAAATCTTCCAGGCTCCTATTTGCCTCCCAATTATATATTTCCTTACTTTAGATTTAGGCCAAAGTCCAGCTTATGCGTGGTAGGGAGTATTAGAATATTAAATAATAAATCATGCTTTTATCTAATAACTTAAACTTTTGAGTTGGATTTTGTAGATTTCAATTTGCATTGTTAGAGGTTCACTTTCATTTCTTTGTTAGTTAAAAAACACACACACACACACACACACATATATATATATATATATATATATATATATATATAATGATTGTTAAGCTTCTCGAGACTTTTGGTCCAAAAAAGTCAGTAACAAAACCAATCCGTTTTTTATTTGTATATTTTTCAGGAGTAAGTATATGGTGGCGAGACCGGCGTCAATAGCAGGATTGATGGCACCGATGGTGGGGGCCTACTTCCTGCTCCTTAGCCCCGCCATGGTGGCGCTCTATGTGAGCACAGCCGTGATCGGCGTCTGCACCGGGGCCATCGCGTCCATTGCCGTGGCAACCACCACCGAGCTTTTTGGGACCAAGAACTTCAGTGTGAACCACAATATTGTGGTCGCCAACATCCCGATCGGGTCCTTTGTCTTCGGGTATGCTGCCGCGCTTCTCTACCGCCGCCGAACCGCCGGCAGCGGCGGCGAGAAGTGCATGGGGATGGAGTGTTATAACACGACGTTCGTCATCTGGGGGTGTCTTTGCTTTCTTGGGACCATCCTAGCTTTAGTCTTGTATGCACGTACTCGCAGGTTTTATTCCAAAAGTATAGAAAGGGTAATAGCTAATTGAGCAAATTATAAAGACGCGACGCACCACCCACGTAATGTAAAGTTCGCTCTATCAAGACCAAGCTCGATAAAAAGAGAGGACGACCTGAAATAACACACACAAGTCTACATGTTGGGTAGATGTCAGGTGGCATTGGCCAACTTTATTCATCACCACGCATGTACACTCAAATGTATCATCAACACACGAAAATATAAACATAGTATAGCCAATTATGTATATGGATGTTGTGTAGATCGGTCCAAACTAACCAGCAGCTCTATGTACAAAAGGAATGCATACATTTTCCCCGTTTTCCTTCGTTCTGGATCAGGACAAAACTCACTCCTCGGATTGATGGTGAGTGTACTATTATGCTTGGCGAGTGCACACGTAAAGGCGCAAAGCAACAGTCGAATCCCATATTGAAATATTGATATGATTTGGAACAATTAATACTTCTTAATTGGCTCTTAAGTCAACCGTTGATTTAAATTTTTGGAATGACTGTGAATCCAATTGGTTATACTGATGAGTTCGGGCTCGAGCTCTCTTGTTGATCTCCCAAGTGAAAGTACAACGATCTAGTCTTGGTGATTTGGGGTGTGCACTTTTGAGCGGTGTTGCGATAGGGATAATTACAAAAAAAAAATATTAAACTTATTGTACGGATATCAATTCAATTTCAAACTTTTTGACGATTTGCTAATGTAGATTGCAAAAATTATCCACGTCAATATCGGTCATGCCATGTAGGACGGCCGGCATTGAAGTTTGCGATTTCCAACAAAAATTAGCCGGAATGATTATATTTGCAAATTGTTAATAGGTTTCAGACTTAATTGACTAAATTGAAAGGTTTAGAACTAAATTTACGTCCGTACAATAAATTTAGAAAAAAAAATGGTGATTTTCCCATTGCAATACACAACTGCTTGGACGACCTGTTGGGGATACTTGACTTTGCATTATAAGCAAGAGTTGGATTTATATAAAAGGCTCACAAGCATATATGAAGAATTCGCTACAAATTTGTGAGAGTCTCATCAAATAGTATACATTTGAGATAAACAATTCATATATCTAGTCGGTTCATCATCGTTCAACAACTTAAGCTAACTTTAAAATGAAGGTAAGTCTAGCTAAATTTGTTAATAGTCTAGGACAGGAACTTCCTCTTCGCGATTTTCCTGATGGATATTTTGGGCTTCTGTCGAGCATCACCTATGCTGGATTATATTAGACATGAATGATTTAGTGAAAGGATTGCCATCCTCTTAAGTTAGGGGGCCAATTTCCTTTTTCGTTTGTTTTTTCCGTTTGATTTCTTCTATTGCAGACCTTCTCCTCTGTCGTTGGCCTCCCCTCATCGTCATTCCATAAGAACATACTCTTGATAAGTACATGAGAAAATCACAACTTGCTTTAAATTAAGACTTATAGCATGAAGAACATTCCACTTTTAAGTTAATATGTGCAATATTGATTAGTACGTTGCAAATTTTTGCTGGTACATTGTCGTGTGAAAAGTTAGATTACGGGGAGTCAAGCACGTACCAACCTTTGCCTGAACTACACAAGATATCGTCCTTAGGGCCCATCAAGTTCCAATGTTAGTTCACGTAATTGCCACTACATCGGTTAAGTTGGCTTTGACATATATAGCCCCGCGACATGATTTTGTGTTTGATTTGTAATTTGAATTGTTTTCGCACTCTTACGATATTTAGAAGGCTTATGAGGAGCCGCATTGTGTTTGTGTATTGTGCTGCTGGCTATCGTCGGCATTACAAGGTCAATGTTTCAGCGAGCATGAGCGGCAGTCACCAAAGTCGGAACATGCATGCTAGTCTAACGGTTCGCTCGACTCGCATAATCAATTTCTTGCAAACTATAGTTTATTACTCGGACACATGCGGAATGGGGGAATACATTTTATTGGCTAGTGAGTTTGCAAAAATAGACTACCAACAGTAGAGATCGTAGCATGATGGATGACCTTAGTTGATATTCAGTGTAATTTTGCATGGCCAGTATAAAAGACATAGCACATCTTGGACAGGCAGCATTTGTCGTAGTATCCTTGCGCAACATGAAATTAGGCATTCTTTAGGAGAATTGAATGAGAATCTTCAATGGATAATTAGGGCAACAAAGGGCAAAGAATTGGTGGTGAGACTTCTTAACGTATCTTTCCTAGCAATCGTATATTACATTTTGATTGAGCGTAACCATAGACGATTTCAAAACAAGTCAACTAACATCCATATTATTTTGGCCAATGTGCGTAAAAATATAAGAGGTAGTACTTCACTCTACCAAAAAATTAGTCCTTCCCAGATAAATGTTGTATTGGCTACTATGTGGAGGCTTCCGACCTCTATCTTTCTGAATTATTAGCTCTATTTGAAATGCAGGGGATTCCCCTAATTTGATGTACTTCATTTACTCTATAATACTTACATTTTCAAACAAAAAAAATCTATACATTTCAGTTATTTGAACACCCATATCTTGACTTGGTAATCCAATTTTACCGGACATTCTTTGTGTCTGGGTTATTATTGTCCGAAAGACATCAATGGCTGCAGATACTTTATCATAACTAATCAAGAATGTGGAAAGGGTTTTAGCCTTTAAAGCACGTCTATGATGACTTCTTGATTCCAACTTATATACTGGGTGGCAATGGATGTTTCTCAATCAGTGCACTGGTCTTACCACCAGCAGTGCACTCAATGGTCTTCATCATTCTCAATCAGAAACCCTAATTTCCACACTTCGAATTGATTCACGTAAGATTTTGATTTCTGCTCTTCAAATTTCAACCTGAAATGAAAACTGAAAGTTCTGCTCCTAGTCTAAGGCCATGGTTTGACACATGATTGTAATAGTTCCCTTCACAAAGTCTACCGTGACGAAAGATTTGTGTAAGCGAGTACAGATCGAAGAACTTGACAGGAAACTATTTTTCCATTTTACAGTACCTTTTCTCTTTTTCTCGGAGACGCATTCGAATTTACCCTCTTAATTTGTTGATCCGCCAGTCTTGGATTTGCCCCGAGAACAAGCTCCACCGCGAGTCGTCGCATTTGAGGAGGAGAAACGTAACATCCCCGGCTTCCTTCCTTCACGGAAGACTTGCTTAGAGATCGAAGAACTTGACAGGAAACTATTTTTCCATTTTACAGTACCTTTTCTCTTTTTCTCGAAGACGCATTCGAATTTACCCTCTTAATTTGTTGACCCGCCGGTCTTGGATTTGCCCCGAGAACAAGCTCAACCGCGAGTCGTCGCATTTGAGGAGGAGAAACGTAACAGCCAAGTCCCCAGCTTCCTTCCTTCACGGAAGACTTGCTAGAATAGCTTGAGTCACTTCCTTGCACGAACAGCTACTTTAATGGAGAATCCGCGAAGTTTTTCTCAACTTAAAGCCGGGAAACAAGGACGATGGTTCAAATGCCGTGTGTAGAGAGATAAGACTATGGAGTAACATCATCTTTTCGTCAATGGATTCAAAGTTGCATGCTGCTACTTCACTAGGCTTTCAAATTATCTAATCTATTCACCGAGCCTTCATAGTACTTTTCATCTTGTCACTCCGTGAAAGCTTCTTAAAAAGAGAACAGAGAGTTGACGTAGTACTTTTAAGAAAAGCTTCTGTGACTCCTTATCCGTTTGCAGTGTTTTTTTTTTCTTTTTTTTAAATTTATGATTGAAGGAGTGAGCGATGAAAGTGATTGAAAATTAAGTGATTTGATTAAAAATATTGGAACTTCGAGGGTTCAACCGACCGCTTATCCTCAACATCATGCACGAGAGAGAGAGAGAGGGGGGGGATCTAATTGCTTAGACCAAACTCATCATGGATTTTCGGATCATCTTGTCATTGATTCGGTTCAATCGAATCAACAGTCTCCAATCGACTTGATCAATAAGCCAACAGTGTTGTGTCAGGAACTGGATCGAAAAGTCACTGTCCAGACTCATCCATGATTGTAAGTATAATAATTGTTTGAAATGATTGAGCCTGGATGCTTAAGCTGGCCTAACTAAGCCTCGGAAGGAAATCTCTTGTCTATGGCCGCTTAGCTAGATTGTCTTTCAATCATAATCAACTACCCTTTTAGTTTGTCCGGCTATCTGTGAGAGCCAGAGCAAACCAGGTCATGAGAACCAAGCATAGCTAGGCCTCTATCAACGACAGAGCTTGGGCTCTTCCCTATTCCAAAAATATAGGCCTAGTGATGAAATCAGACCTTACTCAATAGCCTTGTCTAGGCTCTCCTGCAACCCGAAATTCCACAAAGTTATCTTTCAACATCGGTCGAGATTACCGGTCACCTCGAAAGACGCATTAATCGGGATGAGGTCAACTCGGCTCAGTTCGATTCCATAGCTCGCATTTGATGATGTTTTCGAGATCATCATCTCAAATCGTGGGTCTACCCGATTTTAATAATAATAGCTCTAGACTTTTGAACTCGTTCTCATACATATCTAGGGTTTTACATCTAATTAATCCGTGGAAAGGACATCCAATTAATCGGATAATCCAGAAAACCATGTGCCGGAGTGTAATCACCATTTTCAATGAATGTTTTATGATGATGGGCCAATGGCTGGTTAGTTAGGGTTCACAGAAATGGAATTAGAACGGGGTTTGCTAGGTTTTCCACTAAAAGTGCATTTATTTCATGAAAAACGAATAATTTATAAAATATTTTCTTAAAATTGATCTTTTATATCGCTTGCGAAAATGAATCAACGAAAAATATTTTCATCGTTTACGAAAATATTTAGACATTAATTGTTGTCAATTATGAATATTTTTCATTAACTAATTATTTGAATTAATACAAACGATTATTTTAAGAAAAATATTTTCCAAATCACTCGTTTTTCGCGAAACAAACGGAGCATAATTCTCTTTTCTTTATTTGGAAGGTTTCTATTGATAACTCTATAAACATAGAGTTATATTATCTACTATAGGCAATAAATAATGCAATATTTGTTAG